GCATGGGGTCGCTATGAGTCGGAAATGACTCGACGGCACTTAACAACAACAACAACAGAGTGGAGGGACAATGAAAAAGGGGAAGGCCCTCAATGAAATGGATTGACACGGTGGCTGCAACAATGGGCTCATCAGGTATAGCAAAGATCATGGGGCTGGCACAGGACCAGGCAGTGTTTTGTTCTGCTGTAAATGATGTCTCTATGAGTTGAAGACAACTCAACAGCAACTAACAACAACAACATTCTCAGCACCAGATGATAAGCAGGTACTATAGGATTATTTGTTGAATGAATGACTAGATGAATATTGATCTCAAAGTGCCCTTCCCAATCCAGTTCTCTTTGATTCTATTGACATCTGTGAATTTTTCAGTCTTATAGCCCCCAGTAGAGTGTCCCTATGGGGATTTATTTTTATATCATCTGTACATTCACAGTTCATTTCAGCAGGAAGGTGATGTTGTTGATGTTAAAGAAAGTATCCAATTTCTAATGTCACATGGCTCAGAGGACTGAGTTGGGGGTTGCCACTAGGCTATAAATTTCTTTTATCACCTTCTAGGAAAGCAGAATCAGACATGGAAAACCAAATGGAAGGCAGGAAATACAAACATCTAAATTTACAGGCATAAACAGCACCCAAACTGACCTAGCTGTGTAGAGGGCTGTGGTGGGCATGGGAAGCCTGACGACACCCCACCTTGGTGGGAGCAGCAGAGAGCTTTCTGGGGAGGACTCTATCCTCTTTCAGCAGGCAGATATTTGACCCACACCTCTGCCTGCTGAAATGTTAGTAAGATTTTCTAGCTACTAACCAAATGATTTTATTTAGCCACTTGTGACATGAGCTCACCTTTTCTGTGAAGTCACAGGGTAAGGTCTCCGTGGCTGAATAACAAAGTAGAATTAGGATTGGGGTTGGGGAGAGATTTGCTTTGGCTGGTTGGGAGGTAGGTCTCTGGAAGAATCCAAACCCTCTGCTGATATAATGAGGCACCCGGCTTCCTCCAAATCCTAATTATTGCTCTGCTAAAAATATTCAGTAATGAGCATGATCAGAGAACCTTTTTTATCATGCTTTTCAGAATTGCGGCGTTTGGTTATGGAGCTATTTTAAGCAGCAGCAAAGCACATGTTAATGAAGGAAACTTTCAACAGTAGTAGGCAATATTAGCATGATGATGAGTAATGTGGACCTTACAGTCTATTTAATTTAAGCTCCAGCTTTTCATCCAGCTTTGCTAGGGGAGTTTGACAAGTAGCTCTGACAAGCAGAACAGATTGCTATAAAATTCATGCCCTTGATATCTCTGGCTTCATTTGAAGTGATTTTTGACTTTCAAAATAAACCATAATTAGAGTATAAAAGCCAAATGTGGATACTTGGGCATTTTCTGAGCATCTTTCTCCCACAGTGAGTACTTTGGCCTTCTCTACCGAGACCTCAAACACATCTCCGGTGTGACTCTCCCTCCTGGTGAGGAATCAGCAGAGATATTATAGGACCACAAAGAAGTGTCCTTGTGTCTGTGATTAGTTATATACAGTCTTATGCCAAGTAAAATACTAGCTGATTAATTCAATTAGGTAATGGGGATTAGAGTGGATTAAAGACGGCCATAATCCCTTCACCTTGAATCTGGGCTGGCCTTAGTGACTTGCTTGTAACAAACCAAATGTGGCATGAGTGACACTATGTGACTTCCAAGGCTAGGTCAGAAGAAGCTTGCTCTCTACATGTTCCCTCTCAGGAAGATCCGTCTTGGAACCCAGCTGTCATACGATGAGCTCAAGCCACATGGAACGGCCATGTGTAGGTGCTCCAATGACAACCCCAACTGAGCTTCCTGCTGACAGCTACCATCAGCAGCCAGCCATGTAAATTCACCTTCTGGGATGCCCCAGCCCAGTCGAACCTTCAGATGACTGCAGCTCCATTGACATCTGGCTATAATTGTTAGAGAAACCCCCAGAAAAAAACCTCAAGCCAAGCCCTAGCTAGAACCTTGACTCACAAAATCATGAGCAAAATAAAATGGCTCTTTTAAGTTGCTAAGATTAAGGGTAATTTATCATGCAACAATAGGTTACCAGAATGGGAATAAGTACATTCTAGGCAACAGAATCATTTTCTGAAATATTATTCAAAGTGGTCTTCATTTCTGGGAATCTTTGCTGCCCTGAGGCCTGTCCCCAGTGACACAGACCTCCATCACTTCAGGAGGAGACAGATGTAATGATTAAGAACCACAGGCTCACCAGACTCAGAATACAGAAGGTTTTACTGTAAGCCCTGGAGTGGGGAAGACAAGGAATTACAAAGAAGCAGTTTAACACCCTCTAAGAAGAAGAGAAGTTCCTCCTACCGGGAAGGAGCCTACTGAGGGATCAGGAGGTGAGTAGCAAAACTGAGGGAAAGTGAGTGGGGCCTGTCCCATGCCCCAACTCAGGTCCAAACCCCAGAGTCACAAGCAAAGAAGAGACCCTTTTAGAAAACTCAGAGCAGAGGGGCTTGCACCTTGTTTCCCATCAGGAATTTTGGTAGGAAATCATCTCACAGAGGCTCCGCACCAACATGAGGAGGCTTCAGTAGAGTATTCCTGACGGCAAGCAGGTCAGATAGGGTCTGATGTGGCTCCCTCTCCTCCTACTGCCCGCGTTTTCCTTGCTTTCCAGTAGATTATGGAGGACATTTAAAAATTTCCTGAAAACCCTCTAGAGGAACCTAGAAGTTAGCTGAGATCTAAGATCGACATGACTGCTGGCTAGGTCATTCTAGCACAGGGAAAGGAATCCTGCAGCAGAGGCTAAGGAGAGGACAGGCAAAAGGAGAAGGAGACTGGGGAACAGATGGAGGAGGTGACAGATGTCAGAGGGCTACGATGGAGGAGGGAGGGTGACACGGCTGAGCAGATCTCGGTATTCCACAGTGATGCCAAGAGGGGATGGGAGACTAGGTTTGGTGATCCTTAGGAGCCCATCCTATCACAGGAGTCTGAAAGTCTGTGAGTAGCAGGAAAAGGCTGAGGATGGGGGATAATGGGAGTTCCACTGGCCCCTAGGAATGGGGGAAGGTGGCTCGTATGGCAGATATTAAGGCGGAGCAGCTCGTGTAATGGATTTATTAGACTTCTTGATATCTCTAAATAAAGCATATGGTAATTCACTGAACTAGAGTATCTGTACCATACCAGATAATGGTTTAATATAGATATGAAGGTATGTATGGATGTACATACAGTACCTATTGATGAGATGTATGGTAGACAGTAAAAGAGCAGAAAATAAACCAAGCCATCAAAAAGTTACTTCCATACCTACCTTTAGCCAAAATATCAATTCCAGCCCATCCCTCCCCGAAACTCTGACCTTAACAGAAATACTTAATAACAAAAGTGTCAATTTCCAGAAGTGCAGGCACAACATCTGCCTTCTAGGACATCACTTACAAGTTTCAGGAAGGAAATGTTTCACTTGATTCTGCAAATGCTTGTCCATTCTATTTTTGCCTCTGCATGTGGTACCTGAAGATATTATTATGACATGACAAGATGACACTAGAAATATGGCAAGACTGACTTTGGAGACAAAGAGTCTAGATCATTCATTAGCCAGTTATCTGTTTTCTCCTGAAAGGAAAGCTCATGGGCGTATAATATCATTTCATTGTGGAGACTTAAATCAATTGTGAGTGAGGATAATGATTGCCCTTTAAGCAATAGGAGCCTGTGATTTTAGTGTGATGAACCTTAGAATCATGCCTCAAACCTGAAGTTGAGTACTTTGATGCTCAGGTGAATTCTATATAAATGCCCAAATGGTGCCTTAGCACATGTGAGCAGAGGCTTCTTGGAAGACATCTGAAATTCCAATGCCCTATATGTATCTACTGCAGTTCTAGGGCACATGTCTCTTATTAAAGCCAGTAATTATGAAGCAGTGGACAGGTAAGTGCAGGAGAACTCCTCACCTGCTTCTTTTATATGCTTGTAAACATCATCAGAGCCAGCAGAGGAATATGGAATGTCATCATGGGCCACAAAGTCAATCTGTTAAGAGAGAGAAGAGTGATGTCACCAGTGGGATGAATTTAAATGAGTCGAAATGGGCTTGATGGCACCAGGTTAGGTGCCCCGAAAGGCCTTTTAGAAAGAAAGTATTTGTGAGCTAAAGGTATATCGTGGGTCTGAATCCTTGCCTGAAAGGTATTTCCCACTGTCTCCATTTCCATGACATAATGGAAACTAGAAGAGTAAATGTTTGGTTCCTCTCCTTTGCTGGTCCCTCTTTCTTCTCCTACCTCTGAGAGTGGGTTCTCGTGGCCTTCTGTTCAACTTTCTTCTTCCGAGAATTCATTCACTCTTCAGATTTTAATTACCTCTGCTAGGATGAGGAACCCAGACCTTCATTTCTGTCCCATTGATGGCAATAGGCCCTAACGCTTAGGTCATATTTTACGCTATGAAAATGAACTACATGTCTCTCATCTCGTTTGATCCTCACAATCACCTTGTGAGGTAGGTAGGGCACATATTACTATTTCAGTTGGGAGATAAGACTGCTGAAACAAGAAAGTTCATTAGATTTGCCCAAAGTCATATAGCTTATTTGTGGTTTGGGGTAGGATGTGGGAAGCTGGGGAACCAGACCAGGCATTCTTAACTTGCACAGCAGCCCTTTGCTCTTTCACCACCTCTTGCTGTCACTTTAAACTCAGCATGTCCAGATTTGAGTTCATCTTTCTGAAAACTAGTGCTTCCTGCCAATGGCACCTCCACTTTTCCTCAACCCCAGACCTTGAAATTGGCCTCCTTTTCCTACTTTTCTCCATAGCACACCAGTTGTTTACAAGTTCCACCGCTGTGAGTGTGTGTGTGTGTGTGTGCACGCACATGTGCACACCTATCCCTTCCTCTCCATTACTGCTATACCAAATCCAGGTCCCTGCCAACCATATTATTTCCACCAACTTGTATCTGACCTTCCTCACTATAGGCGCTCTCGCAGCCAAGCCATCCTACGATCATGCGGAGTCCTCCTTAAACTGAGTTTCCTCTTCTCATCCTTGTGCCTGCTGATCTTCACTGGATCCCTGTTTCCTCCTACATTAAATAAAAACTCCTCGCCTGGTTTTTGAAGACCTTTATAATGATGCTTCACTCTACTTTGAGTGGTAGTCTACAGTAATAGTTTAAATTGCCTTTGTATGATTCTTACTTCACCACTTACTAGCTATGTAACCCATAAATTGTGGTAAGAATTAAAGCAGAGTTTCTCATCTTCAGTACTAGTGACATTTGGGGCTGGATGAATCTTTGGTGTGTGGGCTGTCCTGTGCATG